CATTTCCAGATGTCAGAAAAAGAACAAGTTCAGTGAAGCTGATTAGAATCAGAGATTAGTACTAATATTGGAGATTCAACTGGAAATGCAATACCTGGTGGTCTTTAATTTTCTACTGTTATCAAAATAAAATTAATGAGAACATTAATTGGGAAAACTACCTCGTTTTATCTAACATACGTTAGCGGAACATCAGAGATTTTTGGTGAAGATGTTTTGTCATAGTTCGAAAAGACAAAAGTCTTCAATTTAGGCCTGGATTTGTGTATCTTTATTAAGGAAATTGCTGTCATGATATACTGCGTCAAAAAAACAACAACAAAAAATAAAGCTATAAGAAAGATGCTTTGTATTTCTGGATTATATTTCTAGTTTATTTATATATCTTACTAGAATCTAACACCATGTATTCTAGAACATGCATTCTTATTTTTATTCAATATTACACATGAACCATCTCAAAACTGGAAGACATTACAACACAAAGTTACAGCTCATATGATGCGTTATTTTAGTTTTTATAACCTGGGTGTTCATAATTTGGTTTCTGTTTAAATCACGTCTTCTGACGTTTTTAAGAAAAGCATATTTAGTGATGTTCCTAACTGAAATATCTCTCCCGATGTTTAGGATTAAATCGAGTCATCCTGGTATTTCTGATTGAACTATATACCTTTTACTGTTCTCATTGAAACAGAACAAAATAGTGTTTCTGTTAAAATAGAAATGTGTAAATTGTTGTTTATCGTTAAAACATAACTGTTTGAAATATTGTTTATAGTTTCTGTTAAAATATAACTGGGAGAAATATTATTTATAGTTTCTGTTAAAATATAACTGGGAGAAATATTATTTATAGTTTCTGTTAAAATATAATTGGGAGAAATATTGTTTATAGTTTCTGTTAAAATATAATTGGGTGAAATATTGTTTATAGTTTCTGTTAAAATATAATTGGGTGAAATATTGTTCATAGTTTCTGTTAAACTATAATTGGATAAAATATTGTTTATTCTTTCATTTCAAACACGGCTTAATTAATATCATTAATTTTTCTGATTATAAGCGAAACTTTATAAAACACCAAGTATTCTTTTTCAGAGAATGTACGAAACATCAGTGATATCAATGGTAAAATAAAAAAGTAACAGATTAAGCAAACAGAAACTAGATGCAACAGAACAGTAGATGAATATCTTCGTTTTACGATAACTTCTCTTGGAGTGTAAAATTTTATTTCTGCTGAATAAGCTTATTTAGGAATTATTTCGTCGTAACATTTTAATGACGTCACTTTCACTGAAGTCAAGTGAAATAACTGTAAAACGCTTAAATGGGCAATAACATCCTATCATCATAAATACATCGTTATCTAACAGTCATTATTAGTCTCTATCTTTTCCAGCTTCCATATATTATGGTGGGCCACATCTCCACTAGAAGTGTTGTCCTTGCAAGCATAAAATCCCATGCTTAAAGCATCGCTTGGCCGGTTTTTACTAACAACATAATGCACGTTTCAACAAGCACGATTCATTTCCATGCGGTTTCCTCAGTGTCAGTAAAATCGTCGGCTTATCATATCTGTGTTTTCATATGAATTCAATAAACGTACACAAGACAACGTTGTTCTCTATTGTTCAGAAGGAAGCTCTAAACGTAGATGGTAATAACTGATTCCAGTATAACTGAAGTTCTGGTGTTCCGGACTTCAAACCACGCGATTCTACAAAATATTCCTCACACATTAAGCTGCGGGTGCGTGATAAGACTGAAAGTCAGTTCCTTAGCATGGATGATGGACGATAAGCTAATGCTGACTGGCTGCCTTCCCTCTAGTCAGTAGCTCTAAATTAGGAATGGCGATAAATAGCCTTAGTAGCTTTGCCATAAATACGGAAATAGAATCTATAAGAGTATAGTCTTGGCTAAAATGTTTGAATATTTTCTAACAAATAATATTATTGTTATTAAGATGGGATACAAATATATTTAGCGCTGTCAATCTGAGAAATTCATGTTATATTAAACACCTACATATGTAATTTGTTTAATGAGACAGGTCCTATGGACATCATGAACGATTTACTAGAACAGCAAACAATTTTATCAGACACCTGTAGAAAGAT